GTGCCTAGTCAATGGGAAAAAATACAGTTACCACTTTCCTTAGAATAAAACCAAGATGCCCTTTCTGTCTCAATGTGTTTGCTCTTCCAAGCACATCCTCTTGATCAAGAGTAAAGTTTGCCTTGTCCAAACACTTCAATTGAGTGACAGTCTCTTTCTTTGCAGCACCAAACATATTTTATCAATACTGATAAGAAGATATAGGTAACAATTTCCTAGGTCTTATATTATGCTACAGGTTACATAATACTGCCATTGCTGGGACCTTACATAGAACTCTTATTTCTTTCTTTTCTTTCAATTCACTATAATTACTTCAAAATAAAATTTAAAATAAAACAGTCCTAAATATAAGAACTTGACATGGAACCTACATCTGCCTGACTCTTAATGTGTGCTATTTCTCTGCTAGCTAATATCATACTTATTACAACTTTTTTTATTAAAACATACACATAAGTGCAGCTTCCTAGAAGGAAGAATAAAGAAGAGGCTTGTCTCAGGTAACATTTAAAGAATTTCAACAAACACTTGATTAAAAACTTTAAAACATCGACTCCTATTCAGAGCTATAAAGATCAGTTGTTTGAACATGCTAATGTGGTCATGAAAGAACTGGCAGTCAGGCAGAAAGTGACTGCAGGGAAGCCTTGCTACCTTGACTAGAAGCCTGCCTCTTGCTGGTGGTGGCTCTGGAATTTTCTGTCATGTGGCCTTGTATACCTGAAAGTTAACAGCTGTGCCTCTCTTCTCATACCAGGCCAACAAACTGCACCGCAGAGAGCTGTAAATAGAGCTATTACCTGTACATTTGGTATTTCTTCCCCATCCACCCAGGAACTACTTGATGAGCCAGCCCATGTGAACACAGCCAAATTACAATCATCACAGCCAGAGAGGTAGAAGGGTAAAAAAGTTGATTTTTATATTTAGATTAAGTCTTCATATCATGTACACTAATGCAACATCTATGTGAAAACTACACATACAGGGAAAGGCAAGATAAAATGATGAAGAAGCAAAAGAGTGACTTAAGGAAGTTTTCCTAACAATACTTTATTTTATGTCAATAAAAATTACCCAATAAATATTTTATTGATTGATTAAATAAATGATTTTTAAAAACCAAAGCCAAACTGCTTCACTGTATCAAGTTCCCAGCACAGAATATGCTATTATAGGTACGATAAATTCAATTGTATAAAGTTCAATTTAACACATATACAGTTTGAATATCTCTTTCTTATTATTTTTTAACTTTCATTGATTCTCTGTGGATTTCACACCATGCTTTCTGACTCTACTTTTCTCCCTGTCCCCTTGCATCTGCCCTCTGTTCTTGTAACCTCCCCCCAAAATGAAACAAAATTTAAAAGAAAAAGAATCTCACTGTGGAAGCTGTAGTGTGGCCCACCGAGTCACACAGTTACCTTTAATACATTCATTGTCATTTCCAAGGGTCATTGGTCTGGCTCAAGGCTTCTGGCTTCCTCTGGCTCTCTGTTGTCCTGTGTTATGGAGATTGTGCTGTTTTGGATCTGTAGGTCCATCCCCTTCACATGTTCTAAAAGTCCATAGATAATGTGGACGTTGGGGTGGACTAACTCATAGCCCTGGTTCTGGGCCTGGGTGGAAGTTGAGTCGGTTAACCTACCAGCTCTCGGCATCCTCATCACCAGGGTGTGAGCTCTGCGGCGCTGCCTTGGTTAGCTCACCCATTGCAGCCTGCAGCAGGCGCAAGAGCAGTTCTCCCGCTCTCAGGTCCTCAGGCTCACCCACCAGGACCAGCTGTTTTACCCAGGCTGGGTGCAGAACCCTCACTCCCAATTGCTGTAGGGGGAATACGAAGGGAAGAGGTAAATGTAGGGCTATTTCACCTGTACCCCTGACACTGTACCAGCTGACCTGTACCAGCTGACACTGGTCAGCTGTAGTGTGCTGCCCAGGTAGGGTGCAGGGCCCACTCTCCTATGTGCTGTAGCTGATGAGAGGCAGGGCTGATTTTCTCACTCTCAGACCTCAGTGCCAGCTCTCTTGCCTGTTGTCGAGTATCTTCTCCTTACCTATGCCACCACATGGTAGATGACAGAAGTGGGGGGGTCAACTCTCTTTCTTTCACACCCCCAGGATAGGCCCATCTACATCCCTAACCACAGGGTCAGTCCTAGTATGCTGCCCAAGTGAAGTACATGCCTGAGGTGAGAAGAGAAGCCTTCTTTCCTGGGTGTGGAAGGCGAGTTCTACCCTGAAGAGCAGGACCAGCTCTCTTTCTGCAGTATCCAGAGATGGGCAGGGCCAGCTATCCCTGGGCCAGGGAAAGGCGGAGTTAGCTCACCACAGTGTGTTTCTAATGACCACTGGTGATAACACAGACTATGGGCATCATCACAGAAACCAATTACAGCAAGACCATGGACCCAGACATGGTCCTCAGCAGCAGTTCAGACCCAGACATCACCATGGCCCAAGGTGGCAACACAGGCCACCCAGATAGTATAGTCATGGCAGCAGCATGATCTTCAGACATGGACAATGATCACAGGTAGCTGACCAGACCCCAGTCATCCACACGGCCCCCACTGGTAACAGAAGCCGTGGACATCAACTGCTGTTGTAGGACTATGAACTCAGGCATGGCCCTCAGCAGTAGCCCTGACTCGAATGATTCCATGGCCCCAGATAATGGTGTTGGCCACTTAAATTGACTTCATCCTGGTGACAGAACAGCACAGACACCAATATGATCAAGGTTGTGGTCGAGACATTGGGTATCTGTGTGGCTTTTAGTGGCAACATGGGCCAGGGATATCAACACAGACCCCGGCTGTGGTAGGACCACAGACCCAGACACAGGACTGGACAATAGCCTGGGTCCAGTTGTCTCATGGCCCCATTGTGGCAATCCAGGCCACCCAGACCTGCATCTCCCCACAGCAGCATAGCCCTTGGACACCAACAATGCCCCAGGTGGCAGTCCTGAATCTCTCTTATAAGCATAAAGTCAAGACATAGCTTTGGGAGGTGAAAGAATAAATTAGAAGGGTACCAGTTTGTGCTTCATGGAGAGGAAAAAAACACAGTTACTAGAACCCAAGAAAAGTCATTGTTACTATCAATTTAACAAGGTAAATTCAATGGTATGTTAAATAAGGAAAAAAAAGAAGTGACTAGAATCATTGGCTAAAAATTTCAAAAATAATACTCGAATGTTGGTGGTACATTTACAAAAACCTTTAAATCTTTAAATATTTTATAATTAAAGTTTATACACTTATAGAAATTCTGGCATAGTTGCTCACTTACTAACCACGGGGATACCTAACCCAAATTCTGTACCGGTGTTCATGAGATACTTTCCAAGACCCTGATTTCTCCAGAGGCCCCATAGACCATAGTAAAACAGCTTGAGACAAAGGACCACAAAAAATAGAAACAAAACAAACATGGGATCTACGTATAAGGAAGATCTGAGCCTGTGAGATGACAGAGAAAGAAAAATCACCCCCCCCAAAAGGAGCTAGACTGGGTAGAGATCAAATATCCACACTCCTTTTTTAATAGGAAATGACATCTCAAAGAGGCAACAGAAGCATCAGAGGAGAAACAAAGCAAAGAAGCATTAGAAGAAGATGAAAACTGAGCTCTGGTTATGGAGAAGCTTGTTCATACAAAGCAACTGACACGCAATTCTGCAGGAAGAGCAAGCTCACAAGACTCCCAGCCTTCCTGCTAGACCCCAAGATCTCTGCCACATGCTGAGTCAGGATCTTCCAGTTCTTGCTTCTTCACCTCCAAGTCTTGTTCCTACCATCCTGTGAGGATTTACATCACCAGAGGTGACCTTGAGACAACACTGAACTTACCTGAACCCTGCACTTCTGGAAAACAATGGCAGTCAAGCAATCCCACCCATTCTTTGGAGTTCTGAGAGATGGCTAGCTGTAAATTACCATTATTCCTCTTGGCTTGCAGAAAACTCAGTAGTGACCATCTTGCAGTCTCTGCTAAGGCTGACACAAATGACAGTCCAAATTCCCATTTTGTTGTCTTACACACGACCTTTCTGTTTCCATTTACCCAGGTTAAGCCTGTGTCAAAAACCCCACCAAACTCAAATCCATCTTCTCTCCTTGTTCTAAACCCCTGAATTTTAAGACACATGATTAATGAAAACCACCACTCGCTAATGGCTCCTGTAAGAAACCACCTGTCTAATACCATCATTCAATTTCCCACAGGCAAAGCTGTCAGTACTTCTTTTACATCTTTTTTTTTAACTGCTTGAACTTTTAAGATACTTAAAGATCTGCTAGGTCAAATAGTTCTTCCTATTTCAATTCTCTTCGACTCTCCATGATCACCATACTCTTCCATTAAAGAGTACAAGATTAAAGGCTGCCTCTACTACTGTTTGACACTTTCAACCTAGAAAGGGGTTTAACTTTCTGAAACACAAATCATAATTCCCTCTTATAGAATAACAATTGTTACAACCTTTTGATATATAACAACACAAGAAAATATATGAGACAAGAGCAACATAACTAATATGCTGTCATATTTCCTTCAATATTCAAAGAAGAAAATTATACATTAAAATATACCAGCAAAATGCATTTTATAATAAAAATGAAAACTTACAAATAAGTAAGGTTTTGAAATCAGTAATAATTTCTACACATTTCTCTTTTGGATGATATAATCTAAATGTATCTTCAGGATTTACTCGAAAGAAAGAAAAAACTAGTTGAACTACTACTTCTCTTTAACTCAAGCATGAAACCAGTATTCATATAATTACTAAAATTGTTTCTGAAGACCTCTTTAGAACAGTTTGTTACTTCTCCATTAACCCAGGGATCTTAATCAGATACATAAAATAAATTCTCAAAGAAATCATAAAGAAAAAGATTTAAGGCATTTCAATACCCATACAGTATAAAAAATGTTTGAAATCATAAAAACATAGCAAAGAAAATAGAGAAAAGTAAACCACTGACCCGCATTGACTATTGCGTCCACCTCTAGCAATGTGATGTCACCCCTGTAGAGAGAAACCTTTTCACTCAAACTTTTCTTCATTTGCGGTGTTTCCTGAGTATTTTCTTCTGTAATAAAAAGAGATATATATTAAGGGTAATATCTTAATTGAATCAACATCTTTTTGTGTACATGTATGTGTGTGCTCATGTTAAGGGGGTGTATTACTATTCCATGGTGCAAATGTGGAGGGCACAGGACCACCTTAAGGGTCTATCTTCACTTTCCAGCTTGTTTTCAAACAGCCCAAGCCAGCTGGACCTCAGCTTCTGAGGGCTATCTCCGCTTCCATCCCCCACGGAAGCCCAGGGCTTATCGGAACTCAGACAGATCTGGCTATTTTCTATGGGTTCTGGTTCAGACTCAGGTTTTCATTACTAAATGGAAAGAACTTTTACTCACTAAGCCGTATCTCTGAGGACTAAGCAACTGCTTTCTAATCAGGACAACTATAAAAGCCAATATGAAACACAGAGCTACAAAGGAAATTTTAAAATATATGTAAGTATCAGGGGTGTGATTTATTCTCTATTTATATTTTATTTTCAAGATAAATGCACTATCGATACTAGTGGTCAGGTGGAAGTTTTGAGCAACTTTGGGCAATATCTTTGGTCATTAAGAAAATTAACATCAATTCTATTTTGATGCTATCATTTGAAGATGAAATTATGTTCTATTATACTCATAAGGAAGAGAGATGTCCAACTACAGAAAGAAAACATATTTCGCAGTGAAGGAGCTCATTTCTACTTTCCCCTGTTATTTAAAAGGACCATATGAAACATTTATTTGAACATTTAGGTTCAACTCTTTGCTACCTTTAAAAAGATGTCCCCCAGGGTAGAACACCTCAAAGAAAAGATATGAATTTGTGAAAATGTTCTTTCCTTGCCACATTGTATTTAACCTTTAGCTCTGCAAGGCTATGCTACTATGCAAGAGAAATAGCATTATAAAACACATGGAGCCAGCAAGCTGCTCTAAAATCTGACACATTGTTACATACTTGAGAGAATTTGAATTGTCACTTATTTTAAGACAAAGTGAACCCACTTAACAAAGAAACATGTCTTAAAATACACAAAGATTACATATAAAAATACTCACCATATTTTAGAAAAACATTTACAAACAAGTATTTATGAAATATGCATATCTTTTATGGAGAATTATAATGTTATTCATTCACTAAAACATTCTCAAGTGAACATATAATCTTAGAATGTTTGGGAGGTAAGAGGTAATAGGTTCTGAAGCACCTAGATTGTCCTTGAGACGGTCCTAGTTTGGTTTCTCTCTTGCTATGATAAACACCATGACCAAAACCAACCAGGATAAGGAAAGGTTTTATTTCCTCTTATACTTACAGTTCACCACCAGGAAAGGTCAGGCCAGGAACTCAAATCAGGAGCCTGGGGGGTGGGGGTGGGGGGCAGAAACTGAAGCAGAGACCAAGGAAGAGCACTGATTAAGGCTTGCTTTCTCTGACTTGCTCAGCTACTTTTGTTAAACAGCTAAGGGTTCATGCCAAGGCATCAAACCACCCACAGCGGGTTGGGCCCTCCCGCATCAATCATCAGTCAAGAAAATGCTCCCAAAGACATGCTCACAGGCTAATTGGCTAGAGACAATTCAATTGAGATTCCTAATACAGCAAGACCATGAGTTTCACATCCCGTCAGTTAGCACTCTTAGGACTTTTACATTTAAAAACCCGATTTCCAGTCAAAGTTTACTGGATTACAATAAATATCTGATGATTTCTGCAGACACCGTAAGCATCTGCATCAGTGAAAATCTATAAATTACAAGACTTCTCACTGAAGTTAAGTGTCAGAACTCCAGTGGGTATTAAATTAGCAATGACTTCACAAAGAAAACAGAATTTATTTGTATTTTGGAGGTGACAAAATAGACTTAGAAGCTTTTCTCCACTTTTAAGAAATAGGTCTATAAAATTAAGCCCTTATTTCCCTGTGGAGTGTTTTATATACACCAGAACATTTGTAGTGGTGCTGTTCAGTTGCTAGACATTGGCAGGATTTGAGGACATTAAGGCTGGACCCCTCCTTCATAACCAATAACTTATCAAAACAAATGGCTAAAAATGCAGGAACCTAAGTACTAGTCAGAGGAATGGACTGCAACTTGAGTCTAAACTCTGGTTGTTAGAGGAAATGCGACATTTTGAGCCTCACAGAATGACATTAATTATTAACCATTTAAACTTAGATCTAAGAGCACTAAACTTTACAAGATCACTGTATATCAAGAGGTTTTTGTGGTTTAAAAAAAAAGAATTATATGTTATATCATGTGTCCATTCCTCCCCTCACCCTTGTAAGGGACCATCCTAACTGGCTTGCCAATCACCGGGACAGAAAAATGCCCCCCAAGAAAAAGTTGCCAATTCAAGAGAATTTAAAAGCTATACTGAAAAAAAATGTATAAAGTCAGCCTAAATGAAAAATTGTCACAATTCTCTCATGGATAGAATCATAGCCCTGCCGATATTAATTCTTTGACTTCTTCCTTTCCTACTTGTATCTATTTTATTTCCTTCTAAGTGGTCTAGCTAGGACCGCAAGCACAATATTGAATAGGGATGGAGGGAATGGGCATCTTGTTACTGATATTAGCAGGATTGCTTTGAATTTTCTCCATTTTGCATAATGATTACTATCAGTTTGTCATTGACAGATTTTACTGAGTGGAGTTATAGTCTCTCCATTTCTAGTCTCTCCAAGTCTTTATTTATGAAGAGGTGTTGGAGTCTGTCTTTCTGCATCTATAGAAATGATCAGATGATTTCTTTCCTGAGTTCACTTATATGAAAAATAATATTTATTGACTTCCATGTGTTGAAAATGATTGTATGTCCAGAATGAAGCCAATTTGATCATGCTGTTTTGGTGTGTTATTGCATCAATTTGCGAGTATTATATTAAGAAACTTTGCATATATGTTCATCACAAGATCAGTATATAATTTCATTGTTGCTGTTGTTGTTGTGTCTATACATGGTTTTAATGTAAGAATAGTGATAGTGTTTTAAAAGGTTGGAAATGTCCCATTATTTTCTATTTCTATAGAATACTTTGTGAAATATTGTGGAAAAGGAAAGCCTGGTAGAATTCTGTGTAGCATACGTCTGGCCAGGAACAATCTTTAGCTGGGAGATTTTTTAGTTGCTGTAGCAATCTCATTGCTTGTTATAAATATGTATATTTATTTCATCTTGATATAATTTTAGTATGCCATATGAATCTACAAAAACTTTCATTTATTTTAAATTTTCCAGTTTAGTGGAATACAAATTTTGAACACCTGCCTGAATGTCTTGGTAACTGTTGTAATAGTGCACTTTCTATTTCTAATATTATTAATTTGTATCTTTTCTTTTGTCTTTGGGTTAATTTTACTAAGTTTTTTCTTTTCCAATTTTTTTACTAAGTTTTTGCCTTGGGGTACATCATCAGATTGTTTATTTGAGAACTATTTATCTTTTTAAGGATTCATTTTACTAATTTTATTATTTGTGTGTATGAAGAGTGCCCATAGAGGTCAGAAGAGGGCACTCTATCTCCTGGAATGGGAATTACACATAGTTGTAACCTGTGAGAAACCAAAGTCTGGTCCTCTGAAGAGCAACAAGCACTCTTAACTATGAAGTCTTAACTATGGACCAGGCATTTGATAGTACTTAAAACCAGAAATGTCTCTCTTAGGACTGCCTTCATTAGCATACTGGTTTTTATTTTCAATCAGTGTTTGGATTTGTTAGTACCATCTATATTTCTTCAATGATTTATGCATCATTTAACAAGGTGTTATTTAGTCCCATGAATCTGTGTTTTTCTACAGTTTTTCTTGCTGTTGATTTCTAGCCTTACTCCACTATGGTATGATAACAGATAACCTAGCTCTTCTATATTTGTTGAAATTAGAATTGTGTCTAATATGTGATATATTCTAGAGAAAGTTCTATATATTTCTGAGAAGAATGTGAATTCTTTAGAGTTTTGGTACTCTTCTGTAGATGTCTGTAAGGTATGTTTGATCTGTGATGTGATGTCACTTAATATTTGTTTGTTTTTCTGGGGTTTTTTGTCTGTTGTTTGGGAGGAGGACTGACTGATTTAACGGTGACGGTAGAGTATTAAGTGACTATTACTATGTCTTAATATTTAGTAGAACATATATTATGAAACTGAATGAGGCTGTGCTTGGTGTGTTTATGTTTAGAATTATATTATTTTGGCAGATTGTTCCTTATCAGTATGAAGGGACCTTCTTTATTTATGCTGACGAGATCTGGATTAAATTCAATTTTATAAGGTATTAAGATAGCACTGTCCATGAGCTTTTTGGTCTTATTTCCTTGGAAGACCTGTTTTTGCCCCATTCCTTTACCCTAAGATGTGTGTGAGTTGGAGACAGCAAAAAATAAAGAGTTTGCTTTCTAATACAATCTTCTAGTTCATGTCCTCTGATGAGTGAATTGTAATCATTAATATTCAGAATTACTATGAACTGGTATTTATTCTTGCCATTTGTTGTGTTTGATGTTTCCTTAGTCCTCTCTTTCTTCGCAAATGTGTTAGCCTCATTTATTTTTCTCTCCGTAGCCTCTTGGATGTGTTATTTCTGACCTTAATCTTAAGTATTCACCCCAATATGCTTTGTAGGACTTCCTTGGTGATTACAAACTCCTTCAGCCAGCTCTTGTCACAGAAAGTTTTTCTTTCTCCTACAATCAAGACAGACCAGTGTACTTGGCATATTCAGCTGGGTTGGCAGTTATCACCTTTCAGAAGTCTTTCCAAGCCCTTCTTAATTTCAAAGTTTTGACTGAAAAACCAGAAGTGATTCTTATGCTTGTCCTTATATGTGCCTTGGCCCTTCTCTCTTGCAGTTTTCAGTACATAATTTTGTTCTGTATATCCAGTGTTTTTACTATGATATGATATAGGAACTTCCTTTTCTGATCCCATCTATTTGGTCTTTGGTGTGCCTTAATATTTGGATGGAGTTCTCTTTACCTAGATTTTAGACTTATTTTCTA